TTAAGTCTACCTGGATTGTTGTAAGGAAATTATTTCCTTTATTGATTTTGTTTAATGTCATATGCTTGAGAAGGTTTTTTTTCTTCTTCTTAATTTTAACATTTGGGCAGGTTGGTTTTCCCTTTCTGTCCCCATGAGGTGAGGAAATAATTTCTAATATCATAGGATTATTTTATTTACCTTTATGGAAGAGCTGTTCATCTGCCCTGTGTTGGGGAATGGTATCCAATGGGAGTTGTTCCTCCTTGTTATACTTTTTTTTTTAATTGAAACATAATCGATTGTACGTATCTGTTCAGTACAGCATTGAATATCAATACCTGTGTGCAATATGTGATGCTCCAATCAGGATAATTAGTATATTCAGCATTACACAATGTAATCATTTTTTGTGGCCCTTTACAAATTTCTCACTAACCACCCCTCCCCCCTTTCCCACCTCTAGTAGCCTCAGTTCTATTCTCCCCTTTTGAAAGTTCAATGAAAATTATTGTGTCTTTCTTATTTTTATTTATTTGTTTTTTTTTTCCTTGGCCGTACAGCAGTGCCCAGAACAAATCTAGCCTATCCTGCTAATGAACATGCAAACAGTTTTCCCCATCTGCCTCCTCTGTCTAAAAGGCTAGGAAGGCCTTCTTCCCTGATCACAAAGAACATAATTACTGTCTACAGAGAAGTCAAGTACAAAGGCCACCAGCCTTTGCAGGCCACCAAAGATTAACAGCTGCCTCTCCTTTGATTGGGAGAGGTAATCTTATTTCACTTAATGTAATTTTCTCTAAGTTCATCCATGTTACTGCAGATGGCAGAATTTCATTCTTTTTTATGGCAGGGTAGTATTCTATTGTATATATATATACCACATTTTCCTTATCCAGTCATCCATCAATGGACATTTACGTTGGTTCCAATGCTTGGCTGTGATAAACATGGGGTTGCAAGTATCCTTCTGACATGATGATTTCCATTCCTTCGGATATATACCCAGCAGTGGGATTGCTGGATCATTATACTTAAATGCCTCTATGTTGTGTTAATTTATCATATCTCATAGGACATTTTTGCTGTCTGAGAGAAATCCTTTCATTTGTTCATTCTTTCTTTCAGTCACTTGTTTGTAACGTTTTTACCATTCTGTTCTGTGCCAGGACTGGAGCTGCAGAAATGAGTCAGACGCTGCTCTTTAGGAGCTTGCAGACAAGACAGAATGAGACCCTGAGGTAGCGCAGAAATGATAGAATGAACAGGAGTTGATGTGGGACATGAAGGAGAAGTTAGGAGGATACTGAGCAATGTTTCCACCTGGCCATACTCTGTGGAAGAGAGCCCAGAGATGGCTTCTTGTATCTCTAATCCAGAAGTACACATAACCAGAACCCTCCTCCACTCCAGGGAGAGATTTGTGAAATTTTTTATTTCACAGTTGGTTTTCATTTTTGCTTTGTTTTTTTGAAAAGCTACAAATGATAAATTAAAACTTCAATTTTCAATTGTACATTAGTAAAAAAAATTGGCTGTAATGGCCTTTATCTTCCTGAAATTGGCTTATTTTGTCCTGCTTAGTGTCTATTAGAGCCTTTGTCTTAAGTTTTTCAAGAGGTCACATCCACGTTGTTGGCACTGCATAAAAGGCTTCGAGTTTGTGTGTGTGTGTGTGTGTGTGTGTGTGTGTGTGTGTGTGTTTTAAGGCATAAATGTATACATTAAAATGGTCTGCTTTTACTCAGTTCTTTTCCCTCCACTTCTGCAAAGTTGACGCAATTCCTTCCGATTGTGGAAAGGTCTACAGGAACAGCAGTGGTGTGCTGTTTCCTGTGGACAGATTGACTGACTGGTGCATCTGCTTGGCTTGAGGTATGATGTACCTTGTTTTCAAGTTGAGAAATGTCAGTATATAAAGGCTTCACCTAATATGGAGTACAAGAGGAGAGTTCAGTTCCTTCCTTGATGGTTGTTAAGGAGGCTCAAGGTGAACATGTCCTTCAGTCTTGAAAAACTTAATCTCATTCTTTGGTTATGAAGCTCAGTTCCAGTGAAAAACTATTCTATTAGGCAAGCACAAGAACAATAATGGGGGGTTTTGTCCTGGGACATACCAGAGTATTGATTATCTGTGTTTTTACAGTTAAAGTTGTGTAAAAGTGTCTTTGTCAGCCTTCCTTCTCAAAGTGTCATTCAGCAACCTTTGATTAAGCACTTAGTGAATGCAATCCCCTGTGCTAAATGTTGGGGCTGTCATGATATAGTAGACATGGTCTCTGACCTCAGCAAGCTCGGAGTTTGATGGGGATAAAAAGATGAAAAGCTAGAGGACCATACCTTCTAGGAAGTGATAGTATATGCAAAAGCACAAAGACATGAAAGAGGATGGGTCTTATGGGGGATGTGGTTGAGAGGCAGGAACATGGCAGGGAAGGAGGGTGTTAAAGAGGGATCAGACTCTGCAGAATCTTTCTAAGGTATTTGGGCCTCATTCTGTAGACAGTGAGGAAAAAGTCACTGGAGTGTTGTAAGCAAAGAGTGTTACGATCACATTTACTCTTGACAATATTTCCTCATTACATATACAAGTATCAAGTGGAGTCCACAAGCCAGTGTCATACCACTGTTACCAGAACGTAATGAGGTAAATATACAGATCAAGAGTAAGTTTCAGCAAATTGACAGAATAATTCTATGTCTATTACATCTAATATTTTAAAATGTGGGCTTCTACTTAGTACATCTTTTTTTTTTTTCTTTCTATTTTCCCAGTAGTTCATTTGTATTGTATTTCACAGAAGTATCAGTCTATAATGGAGTAAAAATTTTAAAACAAAAAACTGATTTTATCCTAGAGAGTTTGAGAAGCAGTGCTCTAGAGAGTGGACTGGTTTGGGGAGCCTGAACCCAGAGATACTAATTATGAGGTTGCTGCAACACCTCAAGCAAGAGAGCATGAGAGTCTGAACTGACATGGTAACAGGAGGCATGGATAGAAGAGGAGAGAATAAAAAGCTATGACAGAAGTCATATTATCAGAACTTGGAGTGAATCAGCGTGAAAGCTGAGGAAGAGGGAAGAGTCTTGAAGAGCAAATGCTCTTTTGAGAATCTGCTAAAAGTTGGAACCTTGCCCTATGCTTTACTATGAGCTTCTCCATTCCTATTTCATAGGGATGTTTCATATATTTTTTACTATGGTTATGTGTTTTTAATATTTTTAAATATTTTATTTACAATTCCTATTTGTTTTGAGTATAAGAAGAAAGGAGGTGTATGTATGTGTTCACTTTTCCATCTTGATCACAAGTTTCTCCACCATTTTCCTTAGGCTTCAGATGCTTCTGTGATGCCGTAGGCCTGGCCCTGGTAATACTGCCAGTGGGATAACCAGTTACTACCAAATTAAGTCCAGGAAGTATTCAAGCATACTATATGGTCTCACTTATGTGAAATTCTCCAATAGACAAAACTAAATTAGGGTACTATAAATCAAATCAGTGGTTGCTTCAAGGAGGAGGAATTGACTGCAGAAGGGGCATGAGGAAACTTTCTGGGGTGATGGAAATGATTGGGTCTTTAAGCATTTCTCAGATTTGATCTGAGCCTTTCACTCAATTGCAAAGTATACCTCATTAAAAAAATTTATTTTAATAGAAATAGCCAGTAAGCATAAGATGTTCAACCTCCCTCATCCAAAAAACAAATCTCAGTATTCTAAAGAAGTTTCAAGGCTTAGTGTGAACTATAGAATGCTGAGAAGAAATGTAAGGTGCTTTTATAGTGGAAGGATTGTGTTAGTTTTCTTGGGCTGCCATAACAAAGTACCACAGACTGGGTGGCTTCAACAATAGAAATTTGTTTTCTCACAGTTCTACAGGCTGGAAATATAAGATCAAGGTGTCAACAGGTTTGGTTTTTCTTGAGATCTCTCCCCTTGGCTTGTAGATAGCTGCCTTGTGCTGTGTCTCACATGGCTTTTTTTCTGTGCAGGCATATCCCTGGTGTCTCTTCCTCCTCTTATAAGAACACTAGTCATCTTGGACTAGGGCCCTTCCCTAAGGCGCCCATTTAAATTTAATACCTCTTTAAAGACCTTATCTCCAAATACAGTTACATTCTGAGGTACTAGAGGTTGGGACCACAGCTATAAATTTGGGACAGGGGGAAACACAGTTCAGGCCATAACAGATTGGTATCCTATTTTTTACCTACGGTGTATGATGCAACAATTCTAGCTATGCTTAAAAACTAATAGTGTAGCATAGAATCACTCTTCCCATCCCCATGCCTGAGGAATGGAAAGAACTTAGAGAAGTTCCTTCCTACAAGAATCATATATGATTCGGAAATCACAGGTTGAATTCTAAAATGGTTACTTAAAATTCTCTTTAAAAAACCTGAAGTGATTTAAAAAAAATAAAAAGATATAGCTAAAATAGTTAGATATTAGAATATCTTGTATTATATTACTGAAGAAAAATATTCCAATAGAGGAAATTTTTGTGGAAGTCAATTTGTCTCATTAGGTTGTAATTAATATTACAAAATTACGTGGCTTTTTGTAAGTATTGCCAGAAATTTCTGTATGAAATATTTTTTCCTCCACCTGGAGTGCATCGTCTCTTCCCCCTTTCTCTTGCCCATCTTAAAACCTCAGCTTCCTTAGAGAATCCTATTCTGACACCTTCCCCAATATACAATTTGGTTCCTTCATTATTCTCATAGAGAGCCTTTTCTTTTTCTTCAAGGTACTTATCATAATTAAAATAATCTTATTTATGATTATCTGATTAGTGTTGGTCTCATCCTCTAAATTTTAAGCTTAATGGGGACAGCAACCCCATCTTTTATGTTCACCACTGTTGACCTACATTTCCTAGCACTGAGTAAGCATTCAACAAATATTTATAGAATAATCAAACCAACAGAACGTTTCAGACTACAACTAAATAGTTCATTTGGTTATAATTTTATGCCTGGGAAATTGGGCTAACTTCTATTTGTATTTCTGTCTAGAATGTGGCAGATCAGATTGCATTTCAAGTTGCTGGTGGATTAACAGCCCTTGAACACATCCTTCAAGTAGTGGTCCCAGCCACAAATGTGAACACAGTTTCACGATTTCCTCCTAAGTAAGTACAGTTTTTAAATCCATCTTTCACGTTTCATTTGTGAGTCATTTCTGCCCTATGGTTTCCATATGGGGAACCATAAGAAAATTGTATGTGTATTCAGGCTTGAATAGCAAAAGCTTACACTCCCCATTAGAGAGAAAAATAGAAGTGCTCGACTTTACTTACAAAACTCAAATTGAGCCTAAAAATCCAAATGAAGGAAATCTCTTTGGTCTATGACCTGCTCTAATCCTAAATCAAGAAGAATTGATGAACTCCTGGGCAGTTCTACCTGCTTCCAGAAATTGAACAGAAATGAATAATAGCAACAGAAGGTTAACTTTTTGCATTGCCTGTAAGAAAAAGGCGAGTAAGTACATTAACAAAGGCCAGAGCTGTGAAATTTGAAGAAGTCCTCAACATACAGGAAGAACAGTCTAAGGCCAAGACTACCGTAGTCTAGAGTCCCAGCCAAATTACTGGGAACTGAATTGCACTTTGGTCTCTAACTGTAAATTGCTCTTTGTCATAAAGATCCTGTGCAGCATTTAGACCTAATATCTGCTTTCCTATTCTCTTAAGTCACCCTTCAGTCCCTCGCCACCTAGGATATAATAGCAGACAGTGTTTTTTCAGATGTATTGTATTCTGGGGTTGTAATTTGTACAATTTCTTGATATTTTGTGAAGACTCTTATTTGCAGTTTAAATGAGAAATTTTGACAAAAGTTCATTTATACCACTGAAAAATTTTTTTAATACTTAGCACAATAAAAGTGAAGGCTTCATTTGTCCATTGGATCTAACAGGAAACAAATTACGAGAGTATGTTTTCTTTTTTTCTGAGAGACATTTTGGTAAATTAGAAATAGCTATGGCTTTGGAGTCAGACAAACCTTAGTTCCAGTTTTACCTCTGCCAGTTACTAGCTGGGAGAATGTGAGCAAGTTCCTTAATCTCACTGCATCTATTTCCTCTTTTGGAAAGATAGGGGTAATCATGTTCACCCCACAATGCTACTGCGGGGATCAGTTGAAATAACGCATGTAAGAGCTCTTTGTAAACTATAAAGTGTTTTATAAATGTTAGATAAGAGTTTTTTAAGTAGTAGTCTTGCCTGGTTTAAGACAGTGTCATCTAATTAACATGAGATATTTCTGAGTACAAACTTTTTGACATGGAAGTTACTTTGGGTTCCTGTGCTCTACTGACAAAGTAGAGATTAATGAAGGAAGGTAAACTTATCCTTTAAGTTACGGTATCTTTCTGTTGAACAAAAAGTTCCACATCAGGCAGCATGGTATACTGAAAAATGTATGGGCTCTAGAGTCAGATCTGGGTTTACATCTCTGTTTTTCACTTATTAGCTGTATGACCTTGGGCCAAATTACTTGTAATAACTGAATCTCAATTAAATTGTAAGACTAATACCTACCTTGTAGAACTGTTGTGAAGAATAAAGTGCATGTGTTTACTAAGTCCATACACAAAGAAAGCAATTATTATCAATGTTTTTTGTTACAGTTATTGTTTTGACTTTGTATTATACTGCTTAATTACTGAGTTTTAAATCCTTAAGTCTTTGTCACTTTGGCTTCTAATAAGTTATAATCTATTAATTTTACTTGGACATTTGTTTTTCATACTAAGTTCTACCTTCCTCTTGGTAAATTTTAGCTTAGTCTGTCAAGGTCCTTTTTGGATCTTGATTTGGCCTCTAATTTAGCTTCTTTTTCTTTAACTTTGTGCCAGCCATAAAAGTGATCTGTAAAACACGTGTGTGTTCCTCTAATCATTGAAAAAATATGAGCGGGTCAGGGAACAGTTTGGTTTAGCATGTATTATGCACTGTCTTACCAAGTACTCCATTTGTTGTATTATCATCTTTCCAACTAGATTGTAATTCCTTGGGATCAGAGACATAGTAAATGCATAATCTGTAGACCATATGACATCTTAGTCAATATTGTTTGAATACATGAATGCATACTTTCTCTGAGGGACGAAAGTAAAGCAGTAAAAGAGTGTACTGCACAGAATCGAGTATTTGATTCTGTGGACTTACAATATGACCCCATCTCAGCCAAATAGGGCCCTCCTAATTTTGACTACCCTGTTAGCTGGATTTTAGGCAATGTTTTTTATTTATTCTGTCTTTAAGTTTCTGCAGGTTTGTAACTATGTCATGTATCTGTGACTGTTTCTTATTCAAAAGGCCAAAGAGAATTCTAGAACTATATTCTTGGTCATTGTCCTTATCACAGTTTTAGAATCAGAGCATACTAATAGGTATAAGATTGCCCCCATTTTAATCTATGAGGAAATCAGATCTTCCATACTGCTGTTACCTTTATAAAGTATACCTATTTATTCATATCAAACAAATTAGTAAAGTTGCTTTTTTGCTTCTTTATAGTATATGCTTTTATCTGCCTATAGTAAGTAAATCAGCCCTACTCAGGTAAAGCAGTAGTCATTGAATTTAATAAAAAAATAATTTAGAATGACATGAAGTAGAGATTTGCTCACTAGGAAGATCATTTACAAGATGTAACAAATTTATTCTCCAAAATAAAAGAAAATAAAACTTGAGACTATGCAGTTTTCCACCAGTTTATCCAAGTATTGCATTTACTTGATCCTTTGAGTTGGGGAGGAGACAGAAGCTAACATTGAGTGTGTCATCAGTGCTAAGCACTCTGCTAGATGCTCTTTAACATATTACCTAGTTTACGCCTAACAATCACCAGCAACCATGTATGTGGACCACTGCCAGATGTGAGGGTAGGGAGAAATCATGTTTGGGGTATGACTACAACCTGAGAGAACCAGGATATCTCATTTGAAGGAGTGTTTTTTCTTTCCACGTGGCAGAGAGAATGTTCAGAATTGTGCTCCCATGACTACTGAGGTTTTATTCCCAAAGGCTTCTTTTCCCTTCTCTTGGTTTTGTGTAACAGAGGCTGATGCAGTTCATCTTATAGTGGAAAGATATCCTGTTGTGTTTCAGAAGCAGATAAATAATCTACAGCTTCCGGTCCTGATGGCCAGGGAAACTTTTCTAGGGATTCCCTTGTCAGGATCAGTTGTTTGTATGTGTAGACATGGGAACGGGATTCCCATACCTAGGAACCATTCAAAATAGACCCTGTTCGGGCCAGCCCGGTGGCGCACTGCTACAGTGCGCCGCTTGGGAGCGCAGTGGCGCTCCCGCCGAGGGTTCGGATCCCACATACAGACCGGTTCCCGCTCACTGGCTGAGCGAGTTGCGGGTGCGGCACCGAGGGTTGCGATCCGTTGTCGGTCCCGGTCCGGTATGGGCGCAACACTGAGGGTTGCGATCCGTTGCCGGACACGAAAAAAGAGACAAAAAGACAAAAAAAAAAAAAATAGACCCTGTTCTTGGGGAGTTTACAGTCATGGAAAACGAGATATATTAAACTCTAAATATCATTAGCAGTAGCCTGTCGTATTACCTTTATGGAACAGCCACCTTGGTAGTATACACAAGACTCTTCATAAAAGGAATGTTTTTCTACCTATCCAGTGTCAGATGCCTGGCCTCATGTGCTTGCTTCTTATTCTATTCTCTTGACTCACTTGGTTCTTCTCTTTGGGGTTCAACTACTGTAAATCTTTGCCTTTATCTTCACTTTGCAACACAATCTAGACTCTCGCAGTTTTCTTTATGAACTTCCTTCCTTATTACTATCTCATCTCTCTTCTTGGCTTGCCATAGTCACCTCAGCTTCCTTCCCGTTTGTTGTATCCTTTTCATTCAGGGGTTATGAGTACTACTTGCTCTAGGCATTGCATGTATATAAGCATATTTTAAGCAGCTATATTTTATGCCTTGTGATGCTTCCTTCAATGGCTATAGCTGATTAAACTCTAAAGAGAGTATATTTGACTCAAGAACAACCAATCTGTAGACCAGCCAGCAATATAGGATTTATAATCCAGTGCAAAATGTTAAGCTGGTCCAGTCAAGTTTCTCTCTCAGGAATTTGCTGTTGGGGAATTGCAAAACTTCAAGTCATTTTTTCTTGGGTATTTGAATTTGAAAAATCATGTAGAGTAACTTCTGGAATGGCCATTACAGAGTTATGTGTACTCCAAGTTTAGTAGGACTAAGGAAGGTCATTTGGGGGAAAAAAGAGAAAAAGAGAAAAGACCAGAACTGCTTCATGAGAGAGAAGGGGCTGGAAAGGAAAGCAGACCCAGTCTCCAGAGCTGGCTTTGTTCCTGCCCTCCTGAGGCCTGGCTGTTCATTTTCTCCTGGATTCATGCAAACGTTCCCAATAGCCTTACAGTAAGTGGCTCTTTTTACCTGAAATGAAAGCAGATCCAGTCTCCAGAGCTGGCTTTGTTCCTGCCCTCCTGAGGCCTGGCTGTTCATTCTCTCCTGGATTCATGCAAACGTTCCCAATAGCCTTACAGTAAGTGGCTCTTTTTACCTGAAATATTTTGATTGAATTTCTGTCCCTTCCAACCAAAAGAACCTGATACTTTTAAATGCAAATATTAAAGATTCTTTTAACTCTAGATGGGGGGGAATGTTTGACTGTGCTATAGACCTTCCTTGTGACTTCATAGTTGTTTTTTAAATATTTTCATATCAAGGAAGAATGAACGAAGGCCTACTGTTTGAAGGAGGAATGAAGAGAGAAAGTATGCTCTATAAGTTCTCTAGGGTATAGTTCTTTATGAACATTAAATGCTCTTACGAGCAGAAGCTGGCTGAAGTTTCCTTTTTTCTTCTGACCCCAGTTTGAAGAATCTGTATATGAAAACAATGTACATGAAACTTGCCATCCCTCGATCCTAAGGTAAACACATTTAAAAGTAACTTCTCTAGGGTGAAGATCTTACTTCCTATTTGAAGAAAATAAAATATATTATGAACAATATATAAGTTCTGTAAGAACAGATAACAGTGTTACTCATGCTCATTATAGCTCTCAATTGTTACTTTCTGTGGGGGTTTTTGGTCCCAGACTGGTTACCCCATCAATAACT